TCAATAATAAAACACAACACATGATGATTTGTGACATTGTAGTTTAAATTATCAATTGGTTGATATGATTCTTCTTAGTTGTGTCCATCTCAACGCCTTCTGTTTTGAGACTTAGACTTGTGTTCAGGCCACAATCAATGATTGATACCAAAACCTTCAACAATGTGTCAATAAGGCTCTAATTTGTGCCGATCAAATCAACCATTAAGAAGGCAGAATGACTTCGACAACATAGGAAGCATAAAGAATATTCAGAGTACGGATTTTCTGTCTACGAGCTCAGTACCCATCCCACGTTTGGGCCCCTTTGAAAGAGCCACCATGATGTATATCCAAAGGCCTTTTGATCTACATTATGGAAGCCTATACACGTGATTCGATAGATACCGGCTGTGCTTGTGCCTTTCCGAGTTATGGAAGGAGCCAAAACCGCCCATTGACTTCAAAAACCAAGATGATCGAAGGAAATCTTATCAACTTTATCACTTTCCCGTCTCTCTAAATAATATTACGTGGATTTACAAATTAAATTTATTTTTAAATTTAATAATTACAAATAAATTATGAATTTTAATAAATAATAAGATCTACAGTAAAATTAATTGAATAATACTACGTGGACTTAAAAAATAAACTTAAAAATTAGACTTGATAATCTTAAATTTCACTGTAGATCTCAACATTTATTAAAACTCATAATCTATTCAATGATTAAAATTATCAAATTTAATTTTTAAGTCTAATTTTTAACTCTATCCAACATTACTTAAATTAATAATTATAATTATGATGTCTATTTTTTAACTACCTATTCCTCGTTTATATAACAAACCAATTCCTGAAATCGTGTCTACACCCAGATTGAGGAGGAGAGAGAAGATGGATCAATTGAAATCAAGAGCTGCAAATTCATGCCCTCTCACTCCTATAGGCTTCTTGGAAAGATCTGCCACTGTTTATGGCGATTGCCCTTCTGTTGTGTACAACGATAAGACCTATAATTGGTCGGAGACCCACCGGAGATGTGTGCAGGTGGCGTCTTCAATGGTGTCTCTGGGCATCAAGAGAGGCCAAGTGGTCACGGTGGTGGCACCCAACATTCCCGCCATGTATGAGCTTCATTTTGCAGTACCGATGGCCGGAGCAATTCTCAATAACATCAACCTCCGCCTCGATGCCCGCACAATCGCCGTCCTCCTCCACCACAGTGAATCGAAGCTAGTGTTTGTTGACTACCAATCAAGCTCTACCATTCTCGAAGCCCTCTCTCTGTTTCCCCATAATTCGCAACGGCCACTTCTTATTCTCATCACCGACGATGAAGCGCCACTGTTCGCTGCCGGTGACTTCCATTGTACTTATGAGAGTTTGGTGGAGAAGGGTGATCCAGGATTCACGTGGGTCCAGCCGGAGAGTGAATTAGAACCCATGACACTGAACTACACCTCCGGCACCACCTCGTCTCCCAAAGGAGTGGTCCATAGCCACCGAGGTACTTTCATCATCGCCATTGATTCACTTTTAGACTGGTCGGTACCGAAACAGCCAGTTTACTTATGGACACTGCCTATGTTCCACGCCAATGGGTGGAGCTACACCTGGGGCATGGCGGCTGTCGGCGGCACCAACATCTGCCTCCGCAAATTCGACGCCTCTGTAATCTACGACGCCATAAGGAAACACAACGTGACCCATATGTGTGGTGCGCCGGTGGTTCTCAACATGCTATCAAATTCCCCAAACAATAATCCTCCTCAGAAACCAGTCCACATCTTAACAGCCGGAGCTCCGCCACCAGCGGCGGTGCTGTTTCAGACCGAGTCTTTGGGTTTTATCGTGAGTCATGGATATGGGTTGACGGAGACGGGCGGGCTAGTGGTGACCTGCGCTTGGAAGCCGCAGTGGAACCGCTTGCCGGCGACGGAGAGAGCAAGAATGAAGGCGAGACAAGGAATTAGGACTCTGGGACTCACAGAGGTCGACGTAGTTGATCCCGATTCAGGAGTGAGTGTTAAGAGAAACGGATTAACCATGGGTGAAGTAGTATTGAGAGGAGGGAGTGTCATGCTGGGTTACCTGAAAGACCCAGAGGGGACCTCAAAATCGATCAGAGAGAATGGGTGGTTCTACACCGGGGACGTCGGAGTGATGCACCCAGATGGGTACATGGAGATCAAAGACAGATCAAAAGACGTCATCATCTCCGGCGGAGAGAATTTGAGCAGCGTAGAGGTAGAATCAGTGCTCTACACTCACCCGGCGGTGAACGAGGCAGCGGTGGTGGCGCGGCCAGATAAATTCTGGGGAGAGACGCCGTGTGCTTTTGTGAGTTTGAAGGCTTCGGCTAAGGAGAAGCCGACAGAAAAGGAGATAAGAGAGTACTGCAGGGCGAAGTTGCCGCGGTTCATGGTGCCAAGAACGGTGGTGTTCAAGGAGGAGCTACCGAAGACCTCCACCGGAAAAATTCAGAAGTTTGTGCTGAGAGAGATGGCCAAGGGTATAGGGTCAGCAAAGACTAGTCGTATGTAAAATCAGTAATGTTGCTTTTAATTACTTAGACCATCTACAGGAGATCAAAATTGAAATGTTAAATTTTTATTTTAAAATTTCTGTGATAGTTTAAATTCTTATTTTAAATTTTGAAATGTTAAATTTTTTATATTACACTCTCAATAAATTTTGACAGAATAAACAATAAAAATTAACAAAAAAATCACATTATAATATTTTTAATACGTTAATAGTGCAATATAAGAAATCTAATCTTCGAGGGTGTAAAATAAAAAAAAAAACTTAAATCTTTCCGAACGCAAACTAAAATTCAGTAAAAAAAAAAAAATGAGTATACAGTTCTATTTGAGATCCATAAAATAAAGATGGGCTCATTAGAAACAAGTTCTAAAAATTGCATTTATAACCTTGAAAACAAAATAATGTTTATTTAAATTTGAGGAATGATACGTGAACTTAAAAATTAGATTTAATAATTATAGCAATTAATTTTATTGTGGATTCCATCATTTATTGGGACTCATCACTTATTATTCATTTAACATTTACTCTTTAAACTTAAGTCCAAAATTTTTATTTGAGATATAAAAAAGTAAATTGGGCTCGAGAGAAACTAGGTCTAACAAATTTTAAGTGAACTTGGGTCTAACAAATTTACTTGCTGAGATAAAGTGGATCAATTTTCAATGTAATCCCAAGTAGTGTAGAGGGAGTGGATAAGTCAAAATACACGATTGCTAGACCTAGTTCACAAATTAATTACTTGGCTCTTATCTCAGTGCTTTTCGTGATGAACTCCATCATCGGCAATGAGGCTGAGAGTTAAAATTTGACCGTTCGATGAAAACAGAGAGATGGTTTCGAGGACTAGCGATCTAAAATGGTGGTCCATGAAGACGGGGCCATGGTGAAAGAGGATTGATTTTGCATTGAGGCAATTGTTAATGTTGTTGGTTACAACATCGGGCACGAAAACGACGAAGTGGAGCTCGTACATGGCGAGGATGTTGGGAGACGAGGGAGATTGCGTGTGTTCTTTTGATGTTGAAGGAAGCAAGGGAAGAAACGACTTGTGGGATTCTGTGGGGGCGTTCGTGGGATTCGGATCCCCTCCATTATTTTTTTTTTTTTAGTTTTGAATTTTAATACATAATTTTTTTTTTTTTTGTAAAATTTTTTTTTAACAATGGTTAATACTCGACTAACAACAAAATAAATGAAGAAATATCTTATCTATTAAAATTTAAAATTTTATATATATTACTCATATAACACTGTACATAGAGAAATTAAACAGAATAAATAACAGAAGGGATCTAAATCATGCGTTTGTGACCATGCATACGCGATGGTGTTGTAGATAATGGAAGGCCAGCTGTTAAAGTATTTTAATTTTATAATATTCTAATATAGATTAAATTACACTCGCACTCTTTCCGACTGACAAACCTTAGAATAGTTCACAATAAAAGTTAATGTCATCAATAATAATGTTTGAAATACTAAAAATACCCTCCAAATATATATTCTTCTTACCTCAAAAATTTATCCCCTCTCTCATTTCTCTATTTTATATTTCATACATAACCTAAATTTTTTCCAATTAAATGATGAATTTCATAATTTATCTAATTAATAAGTTAAATATTAGAATTTTTTGTTTATTAAATAATATATTAATGTAAATTTCATTTATCAATGAGTAATACTAATCAAATTTTGGGACCAAATCAAGAGCTCAAATAACATGACAGTTGAGTTGGGTTTCTTTATTTGATGTCATGTCATTTGGACTTCAATAAAAATTTTAAATAATATGCTACCATGTCAGTTGAGCTCTTGATTTAATCTTTAAATTTGGTCGGCATAGAATTACTATTTATCAATTCATTTGCCCCTAAATCGATCATTAACCATCATAGTTATTGTTTAATGTAATTCCATTTTATCAATCCATTTACCCCACCATCCATCATTAACACCGTCACAATTAACCGCCACCCACCGTTGCCTCCGCACTACGAAAACCACCACCACTTCTTCCTCCTCCTCCTCCTCTTCCTCTCTCTATCTCTCTCTCTTCGCTTCACTGCCCAGTAAAGGAATAACCACATAACCGGTCCATCACCTCCATCTTCATTTTCACTCCACAACCACACAACACCACAATCCAACAACCTCACCACATTCTTCTCTTCCACCTCCTCAACCAAACCACGCACACAACTCAGCCACCACCACTATTAAAATCAAACCCCAAACCCCCCAAATTGAACAATAAATACATTGTCGACTTCCTAAGGAGTGGTGCCAGATTTTTTTAGCTGCATATCGAATTCGGCTTCCTCAAATCTATGAAACGAATTCGACTTCCTCAAATTTACACTTCATCTCTCTCTCTCTTGACGTTCTGTGCTTGACTAAGGAGTTGGGTTTGTGAGTGGGTTAATGTTTTGGATGGGGGTGGCTATTGTAGGGTGCTGTAGTGACTAAACAGTGGAACATCTTTCCAAGAAGTCTAGAGGAGTGAGAGGGCATGAATTTGCAGCCCTTGGCTTCAATTGATCAATCTTCTCTCTCCTTCTGAATCTGGTTATGGACTCAATTTTCCTAGGGATTGGGCCGTTGAGTAAATAACAGAGATGGGAAAGTGATAAGTTTGATGAAGCTTCCCATGGATCTTCTTGGCCATTCTTTAAGTTAATGGACGTTCTTGGCTTCTTCTTTGATGCAGCAAGTCGCAGGCAATGCTTGTGTTTATCAAACAACGTGTATAGGCTTCTATATTGAAGCCTCTGGTAATACACTAGAGTGAGTTTTTCAGAAGCGCCAAAAGGTGGGATGGGGCAAGGTATTGCAGACTTGAACTTGAGAAAATCCATACTGTGAAATTTTTTATGCTTCCTATACTCCTGAAGTCATTCTGCCTTTCTTCCTGTTTGATTTGATCAGCATAAAATTGGAGCATCGGCATGGTGCTGAGGGTTTTGGTATCAACCATCAATTTTTGGTTTATGGTGAACATGAGTTGGTCTCGAAACAGAAGCTACTGAGACAGATATGACTCAAAAGGATCACACCGGCATCAATTGATGATAGTTTGAGCTTAAGATCTCACAGAGCATCATGTTTGGCTGCTAATGCAAAGAACTCATCTTAGTGGCTATTCTAAATAGAGAACATTAAATAGTAACAAATTCTTGGACAGATTTCTAAGCATGCAACAAGAATCACGCATTGAGAGTGTTTTCAAAGTTTAACCTAAAAAAGGGACATAATAACACAATAAGAGGTATTTCTAAACATGTCTTCAACTACAAATATATCACAATAGGCTAATAATTATTTTGATATATTAATTATTACTGAATACTCCTCTCTGAATACTTAATTTGTCATTTTTTTAGGTAAACATTTCCTTTTGTTTATAGTGATGTTTTATTGGAAAATTATCACTCTTCATTATTTGTACTTTTAAATATATTATTATATTTTATTGTCAAAGAAATTGATTAAATTGTAAACTATTCTATGTATTATAATATTATGATATTGTTGCGTATGAAAAAAATTAAATGTGACATATTTGACAGTAAATTTAATTTGTCAACAACATGTATATAATAATAGAATATAGATTGGATTTTATTTTATTTATTTTTTACATAAATCGATATAGATATAAAAATTGTATGTAAATATACTACCAATAAATGATTCCAAAAGAATTTAGAAGTCAAATACTACTAATAAAATGTCAAAAAAGAAAAAATAAAAGTCTAATAGTTATAGAAAACATTAAATATTGGATGAAAGCAAATATGTTGGTATAATTAACTTTATAAAATAATTAAGAGTAAAATAGAAAATTAAAAATTAGATCCGGATCAATGTTGGGTTGATTCATCTAAATATTGATCTACCCGAATTTAGGTTATCTATCTCTATTCATTATAAATGTATAGATATATTGAAAATAATAAATAATATAAAAGCTTGTAACTTCAAAATGCTTGATAAAATTTTGAATCAATATATTTCACTTAAAATGCACATTAATACAATAGGTCGTTCAAAATTTCAAATTTGGACTATCAATTTGAATTACTAATTTTATCTTAAATAATCATGTTAATTATATAACATGGCGTGGACAGTAAAAATATAATTTTAGACAAAAATGAGATGTCATTTAACTTAATTGCACATATATATTATACTAATTTGAAAATTTATTAAGTTTTCATTACCTGTATTTGTTCAGTGCAACGGACATGATGCAATGTTAGTATGTGTGTGTGTGTGTGAGTAATATATAGGGTAGAATGTAAACACATACGAGTTGACTTAGTGATCAAGCAAAAGATGAGGTATACATTCGCACGTTCACGAGTTTGAGATATCCGCATTGCATAAAATTCGGGTTTATTTAGTACATAATTGCGTGTATGCGAGATTGCTCTTCACTGAAGACATATAGTTTAGACAATTCTCATTTAAAATAAGGAATAGGGTAGCATATATACTACCTATCAATCGTGGAGTAATCATGGTGGCGAATAAAGGAAGAAAATAACTAAGGTAAGTTAGATATTAGAGCACGCAATTGTAATCTAACAAATTCCTATAATTTTATTGGGTAGAAAAAAATTTGTCTTCAATTTAATCGGGAAAATAGATAATCGGTTGAAGTTGATGAGGTCACAGATGTTAATTAGGTTAAACTTATCGAGTTTAAGTGTACACAGACTCAATTTTGATTGTTGAAGCTCAACCGAATTTAGAATCTTACTCACAATAATTTTGGAAGAAGTTTGTGAGAGTTAGATTTGAACTCAAAAAATAGTATCTGAAATTGTTTAGAAATTTGTGTCGTAAAATTTGTTTGATTACATAATTCTAAAAACAGTTTTATGAAATATAAAAAAATAAAACTTGTTTGAACAATAACCCAAAAAACAATAAAAACATAAGAGAGGTGATGGTCGTGGAAGTGTGGTGGTGGTGGTGGAAGTATTGTTGGTAATGTGGTGTTTTCTAAATTCTGAAAATGTCGTTTCTAAAAACAGACAAAACAGTCCTAACTTATTATGTAAATCTATTCACTTTTTGTTCTCAGTTTTCAAAAAATAGTTAGTCAAACAATTTTTCTCCCATAAATTATTTTCAAAAATAAAGAAACAGTTTATGAGATGCAAATCAAACAAGATCTGAATTTCTTATAAAAATTCTCAACAATTAAACCCTACAACTCAATAATCAATTCTAGAATGTTCAATTATTCAATAAAAATTCCCAAAAAAGGTTGGAGAATAGACCATAAAACTAAGTTCAAATTTTCAAAATATTTGTTAAGAGAGAGAGAAATTCATATAGTCTAAAGTTTTTTAAAGATAAGTTTGGGATTGTTATTACCCTTCCGATTATAAATTGTTTCACTACACTTAGGTTAACATTTTTTGTAGACAGTAAAAATACTATCGAACCCAAAAAAAAGTTCAATTCGTTTACAAAACAAGAATATAAATCTCATGAAATTAGCAAAAAATATGATGCAACAGTTATGAAACTAGAAAGATCTAAGTGGGGACTGAATATATAATTTTAATTTGGATACATTATTATTTAAATTTAACGAAATAAAATTTACGTAAGAGTCATTGATTAAATCTTGGGCCATGCCCCCAAGCTTCAGCATAGCTTCGTCATAGATGGTAGCTAGAAGAAGGATAATAGCTAGTAATCATGGTGGTCGATGTCTTGTTTAAGTGATTAGGCCGGGTCAACTAATTGTAATAGTCTAAACCAAATTTGAAATGTTAGGTTACTCACTTTCTTTTATCTCTAATTTTTGATACCACAAGGCACGACGTATTACTATCCTAAGAAAGGACGATTAATATATTCACATTATATATTTTATTAGTTGTTGAATGGGTAACCAAATTTGATAGTTTCTCTCATCACTAATTTTAGTAACTTATTCGGAAGATTTTAGCATTAGTTGTGCGGTCGTTCTCTGTTAGGTGGTAATATGTATGATATCGTATTAAAGTCAATCCATCGTTAAAGACATTATCCATTTCCTATGAATTCATGGTGATTTCATAATCATATTAAGAATCGTTTCACCACCCTTTTGTTCTTCTACAAAACTAGTGTTTTAGACCATACTGTGAAACTCTCTGTGCTAGAGAATGCTTGATCCTTATCTCCAAGTAACAGTAAAAAATAAGGTATTTCCATCTTAATCAACCTAGGTAGAAAGATTAATAAAAGAGGACTTTACTTCTCTCAGTCGGAGCACTGGACGATAGGACTTCTATCTTAATGCTTTTCACATCTGATCTATCTGGCTTTGTCAGTTTTTATTTAGTGTACGAAATGACAAAGGTGTCACCGTCTTCAAGTTCTAGCAGGCCATTCTCGGATTTGGAGCATTTAGGGAAGCCATCATCGGATTTGAAAATTACCCAGTTCATGTGATGTATTCGTTTGCTTGTATCAAGAAGAAATATGTTTTTTTATCTTTGGTGATAAAAAAGCCCAAAAAGATAGCAATCAGATCCAAATCAAAATGTGGCCCACAATCACATGGGTTAACAAATTGATTCATGACCCGATGGACCATCGTGCTTAAATAGTTTGTGTAACGAGTATACCACATTAAAATTAAAAAGTAGACCCCGCTCATTCAAATAAAACTACCCCTCCATATAAGATATAGTAATCAATCCATGTAAAAAAGTTGGGTCACCTTGTGCAATTGTTTATTTAAAAAGTTGAGTTATCATCTATTGTTGCGATAAGGTTATCTTGAATTCTATACTCTATCCCCTCGAAAGCTTAACATTATTTAACATCCCATCCCTACCACATACCTTTCAGAATGTATGTGTCCCAAGTCCCAACCATCCATACAAGCTGGGAATATTAAACTAAGAATCACAAATAAGTAAGCAAGCTAGAAAATATTCATTAACGTTGTGTTTGGTATATGGTATTAGACTTTAGGAATGAAATGATCATACCCATTTCTTTGTTTGATTTGTGGGAATAAAATTTTATTTCTATTTCTAAGGAATAACTAATGCCATAAATTATGGGATTAACCATTTCCAAATAAATGATGTTATTACTAGGGCTGTTAATCAAACTGAGTTACTCGAGCTTAGTTTGATTTCGGCTCGGGTTCGACTCGTTCAGGCTCGGTTTGTTTTCTAAACAAGCCCGAACTTGAACAAGTTTTTAGGCTCATTTAGAAAATAAGTCCTATAAGTTCGGCTCAAACTCGACAAGTTCGACTCATTTATGTGCAAATACTCGGGCTCAGCTCGGCTTTGGCTCGACTTGAGTTTGGCTCGTTCAGGCTCAGCTTGTTTTTTAAACAAGTCGAACTTGAATAATTTTTAAAGCTCGATTAAAAAACAAATTTTTCAAACTCGGCTCAAACGTAATTCGAAGTCGTTCGATTAATAGACCTGGCTATTACCCATTCCCTGACAGTCATTAATCAGCCTCAAATCGACGAAAACTTTATCATTCCTGTTCCTCTCTCTCTCTCTTTCTCTCTCTCTCTCTCTCTCTCTCATCACTGCCCATCGTTCTTCAGCTCTTTGGCTCCAATCCTTCTTTTCTCCTCTCATCGTCTCTCTTCTCCTAGCCCTCTGTGACTTTTCCTTCATCAGCGGGAAGCATGACAGTCTATCCCTCACTAGCCATTGTATGCTTCTTCATCATCTCTTTGTGATGCAAGGGGCTAGATTGATGACCAGACAAGATTTGACATCGCCACTAATCTCAGGTAACTCTTCACTTTGTTTAGTCAACAATCTCAAATCCAATTTTAGAATTTTGTTTCTCTATT